GTCCAACTCGCAGCTAGAGGCGATCCACGATGTTCTAGACGATGTCAGCCATGCTCCAACAACGAACGGCAAGGTCAATGGCAAGTCGTCTTCCCAAGGCTCTGTCCCCAGCTTCGTGCAGTTCCGTTACGGCCAAGACGCTACACCTACCGCGAAGCCGATCAGCCGGCAGCAAGAGCTCGTTGAGAACGCCGCAATCCTCGCCAAATTGGAGAGCATCAAACTTGCCCGCAAGAGGGTCAAGCAATCTCAACGCCCAGAAGGGGATGGCAAGCCGGTCAACGACAAGGAGGTCGTGGTTAAGCTGGAGCACTTAATGAAGGCCCTGGAAAACACCAGATCGAGTATCAGCACGCAGGAGCGGGCCAGACTGCAGAGAATCTACAGAGAGTTTGTCGTTGGTCGAAGTGGTGAGATGAAGGACGGCCAGGGAAGCATGGAAATTGGTGGGCGAAGCAGTTTGATGTGAGATCTCAGGAAAGCCACATTACCGTACGATCCAAAGTACACCTCTCAAAACCAGATACTGTTCACATATGAATCTATCCGTGCTACATGTCCACGTCTGCCGTCTACTTGCTCCGGCTCATTACTTACGGACATTTCGTCTTTCTGACCACTCGCTCTTTTTTGAGAAAAAAAAATCATGCCGTCTTCCCTTGCAGAATCTTCTTATGAAAATCCTTCCAATTCGTCTCACACTGCGACTTGACAACCCCAGCCAAAAGCCTCGAGCACCGAATCTCAACAACCTCCTCGAGCTCCAACGCCCCCTCCCCCTCGGCGCACTCGGCATCCTTTACGCGCCAGCGCGTCTCGAGCAGTACGCTGAGAGGGCAGCTCGTGCGGACGAAGCTGCCGTCTTTCGTAAACGTAAAGTCGTAGTCGCTGACGGCGTCGCCGCTCCAGATGGCCTTGGGGAGCATCGAGGGCACGCTGTCGGTGACGGAGAAGCACTGTGTCGCGGCGATGGGGTCAATGTCCTTTGGCACGGTGGGCGGGATGGCGGGCGTGCGGGCCGTGTAGTCCTTCATGTTGGGGTCGCATTTGATGTGATGCTCTGCGTCGTGGATGAGGGCCAGGGCGTCTTCGCGGGAGAGGGTGGATGGGATGGGGGAGGTGTGTGTTACGGTTACTGTGGTGTTCAGCATTTTTGCGAGGTGTTGTGTGTGATGATGGAGTCCTTGATGTCGTGAGTCCAGGGTATGAAATGAGTTTATAGTCTACAATGTCTTGAGAAATATGTTTAGCGATGAAGACGATGAAATGAAATTGAAGTCTGAATACGAGGTTAAGATGTGTAGTGTGAGAAAGAAGCCCGCAGCTGAAATGAGAAAGTATATGCCCCAAACAAAGAAACTCAAATTTCGAAGACGATGATGCCGCCCTCCCGAGCTTGCCCTTATGCGTCAAATCGAGAGGCCGCTATCTAGGAGCTGCATGTGATACAGTTGATGTATCAGACGAAGCCTACCCTTTGCGTCCCACGGACCCGAATACGGGCCTTTGGAGAACACATGCCCACTGCATGATGGAGTGTTCTCTTTACTTAATCCAGTTCTTTCTTGTTTCCCCCATTGTTTGTTTTTTTCCGGGCCAGTCATGGAGCCAGCGCCCATTTAAGATGGTTCCCCGCAGACCCGGGGGATCCGGAATTGGTGAGCCAGGACAAAGGATTATGAGCCCAGCGACTCGCATGGGAGAAGCTTAATCCAACCTCAGTGGAATGCCATTCCCATATTCTATGTGTACAGGAATACAGCCGGCCCTCAATGGACGCCAATGGTTGTGACTACGGCCGGGTGCTTTTCCAAGTGTATTGGGCGTTATGGGTCTCGGCGGAGCTGCGTAAGATAGGTAGCCCTACGCGGGACGAACCAGTGGGTCTCGGACCCGGATGCGGATGCGGATACGGGAAGTGTAGTTGATTTCTTCATTGAGCGAACTCCGGCATACTATTTCCATCGCCGTGATATGAATGTCGATGGGCCCTTCTGTATGATTGTGTCGTGTCATCTTCTCTTGTCTTTCCAGATGTCTGAAATGACGAGATGAATAAGGCTTTCGTGCCCTTTGTCTGGCCTCACGATTGGACCGCGGCTTGGTTGGCCTCCTGCAGAATCTTGGGAAAAGGGAGGGATGCAACTGTTGCTGATTCGCTTGTGTCATATCAGAACACCTCATCTCATACATCTTGGTATGCAGCATACATGGCCCGTAAGTTGCTGAGGTGACTTGCTGCACACGCTGCGTTCCGTTCTAGATTACTACACAATTGCTCGCTCATACAAGAAGCCTTGGGCTCCCACCCTGCGCGCAAGGCTCGTCATCATGGATATCACAATATCAACACTTTTGACTCACAATGTACTCGTCAAATACTGGTCATTCAAGCTGTTTCCCATGTGCCCCTCCAACTATTCCAGGCCGAAGACTCTAAGCCACGATGAGTAGGCCCAGTGAAGGTGACGCTGCGGCGGTTGCTTGCGCCGAGAACATATCACTATTGCATCTTTTAAGCAAGCGTCAGCACGAGCCCCAGCACAACCCTCCATTGTTGAACCCCATTGAAGAAAAGGGGAAAACGCTCCATTTCAGCAGAGAGCGGAGTCTATGCGGCGCCTTCGCGTTCCTGTCCAGCATCGATGGAAATCCGGACTTCGTTCCCGCTGTCTACATTGAAGAACGAACCGAGCAGCGACGTTTGGAAATTGTGGTGGCCGTAAACAAAAAGAGCCCGCACGATGGTGAGGAAATCTTGCTGGAGATCAAGCGCGGATTCGAACAGATTTTTCTGCAGTTGAAGGGTCTTGACGGCAAGTATTGACGTTGTCTTTCTCATGTACTGGGATATCATGAACTTACTCGATGCTACATAGATCCCAAGCATCCAAGATCCGAGATTGAGGTTGGGGTCTTCGATGAGGTTGTAAGGATGTGCTACAAGCGGATTCTCAAACGCATTCGCGAAGAACCAACAGCACGAGTTGGGAGATTGCAAGGACGACCAACGAAAAAACGACAGTCGATTGACACGTTGCTCGAAACGCTCAACATATACTTTACTCAGCCGGGTAACAGCACAGTACAGTCACAGAATCTCTTGGCTAGAGCTCGCGACATAAGAAAGTCAGTCGGAAGATGGAGAAAATACCAAAACCCATCTATGCTGAAGTGCTTGGTGGAAGACATGTTTCAGCTTTCACGAGTCGACCACTTTGAAAAGCTCGTCCACATGATCCCTCACACGGAAATGGACCCAGGCTCGAAAACGAGCCTATGTAATATGATCTCCAAGGTTTCGCGGTACAGAGAGGTCTCCCGGCATATTTACCGGACCGCAAAGAAGTACCCAATTGCTAGATACGCGGAAGTGGTGACGGTCAACCTCACGTGCTTCGCGCCAGGAGCTTACGAACGGAGAGCAGCGCGTGAAAGGTGTCCCGAACTCACCAAAGCTCTGGCGAGAAACGGAGTCAAGAAAGGCCCCGATCGAGTTCTCAGAGATGCCTGGTCACAAGAAAACCATCAGGACGTCAACGTTGCATTCGAGAGGCAGGCCAAGGATGTACTGAAGAATGCAAAGGTCCACGCCGAGGTTCAGCTGATATATCACTATCATCTCAAGAGCCGCCATTCAGACCTTCCGCCTAGAGTCATCCGATCCAGCAAAGACGCTTGCTACCTCTGTAATGCTTTCATTGAAGCGGAAAAGACATTTTACACTTCCCGTTGTCACGGGAGGCTATATCCGTCGTGGAAACTACCGCGAGTCGCCAGCCGCTCCGACCTTGCTCAGAGGTTTAGTGAGTTGCTGAAAGGCAGAATAATCAGCGCCTATGGTGATCTATCTCGCTTCAAGGCCAAATGTCCAAAGGCAGATCCAGCGGAAAGCACGATTTCGACGTTGAATTGGTCAGTATCGACAGAAGCAGAGGAGCCATCAGTACCGACCGCTCCAAGTGGCATAGATGTCGTCATTGTGAATACTGAGAATGAGACAAAAAACCAAGAAATACCTCAAGATATAGAAGCACAGAATGATTCTGTTGAAAATGAGGATATGATCCAAGAGGAGCCACAGGAAGGGGATAGGAACGGCCAACAGGAGTCAACACCAGGGGTGATCGTGCCCGACACTGAAGAAATTCCAAACAAAGCAAGCCAAACAGACGAACCAGTAGAGAGCAGTCTACATAATGAGAATGAAGAAGAAGAAGAAGAGAGAGAAAACCCGCAGGGCCAGCCCGCTGAAGACAGCAAAGCTACGACCGTAGTTGGCCAAGATGATGAAACTCAAACCACAGATGCCTCTCCGGGCCGGAAAAACGCCTCGCCGATCCAAGAAGACCACATTCCACGTATAAGTCCTGCGATTCGAATATCAGATAACACCAGGATTCAGTCTCAAAGTCCCGATCGGCGAAGTGAGCCCAGGAGAAAGCAACGTCCAATTCGGATCAGAACATCATACGCTGTTATCAGAAAGACATACTGTTCTGGGGAAGTATCCACCAAAAATTCGGTCTACAGCATTGAGGAGACAACAATCTACTCGAATAATGGCAAGATTGAAACCAGAAAGAGGACGTTTCCCCGAGCTGGGGAAGAAGACACGGTGTTGCGGGAGCGAATGCTTCCTGCCAGGATTAGGTTTATGATGAAAACCTTGGCCAATGTATGAACACGGTGACACCTCATCTTCTTACTTGCAATCTTCATTTGAGTTGAGACTATCTGCGTTGACCTGCGTTGAACGACTCAAGCAATCCTTAGTCAAGGACTCTCGACCTACACACTGAGCAAAGTTGAATTCCTAGAGAACAAAAGTCGGGCCATATCCACTCCCCCATTACCATGACCAAACGAGCTGCATATGAAGCAACAAAGGTTCTCAAAAAAAAAAAAAACCCCCCCGAATCCAGTACGCATTCCCAATCCCTCCTATGACCAAATTTTCCGAATACTCCGACATGTTACAAGTGAGACGAGTTCAAGCCTTAGAAAGGGCGCAGGTGGTCCATGTGAACCTTGACAACCTTCTCGGTGGTGAACAGCGCCACGGCACCTTCAGGGCCGTCCTGCTGAGGCGCGACAGCCTTGGCCTTTCCCTTCGAGTTGACTCCGTTCTCAGAAAAGAACATGTCCGCGACAGGGGCCTGGCTGTCAGACTGGCGACCGAGGGCCACATTGGGGTGTTGAGCGACGCCAGAGATCTCGGAGGTGTCAAGGCCCATGAGACTCTGCTCGTGAATCCAGCCCTGAGAGTTCGGAATGATGAACTTCTGGTGAATCACCTGGATCTCCACCACGCCATGGTACTTCTGCTGCGCAATCCAGGCCTCAAGGTCGTAGAGCATGTAGTAGCGAGCCTGCTGCTGGATCATCGCATACATGGCATAGTCAAAGCCGTTGCGCCCATCCCAGAACAATGGATACATGCCGGTGCGAAGGAAGCGCAGTATGTGGGCAAAGAGATCCCCATCGTTGTCGAAGTGGAAAACGCCATCGCGGTACCAATCGCGGAAGTTGATGGAGAAGATATACTTGAACCAGGAGCTTCTCTCGAGGACATCCATAGAGCTGACGAAGCGACGACCACCAATCTCCAACTTGATCTGGCCTCTATAAAGAGGTGGCATGCGGAAACCAGCGGGGACAGAAGGCATGTCGGGGAAATCACGGCCGACAAAGTTCTGATTGGCACTCGCGGGCGAAGGCATAGTGCCTCGAGTGGTTCTAGTGAAAGGAGTGCGAGCAGGCGCAGCACCCGTGCCGAGGTTCACGCTGGTGCTGGATTCGCCATTGGAATGGAGGTTGTTGCCCACCTCGAAGTCGGTAATAGCGCGGGCTGCGGGAGTGTCGGAATACTGGCTTCCATCCGTAGATGTGGTGCTTCCAGCGATGCTCGCAGCATAGGGGTTAACTCGGGGGTCATTTGAGAGAATCTCGGGATACTGGCGAGACCAAAGCGGGTTGGTGTAGTAGCCGGGATCTCTCTGAGGCTGGAAGAGGGTGGGCTTGCCGTTCTTGACCCAGATCTTAGGCTCAGCACTCTTGTCCCAGACTGTAGGCGAGAGAATAGAATTCGAGGCCGCTTTCATGCCTCCAATACCAGGCTTGATGGTCTTGTCCGAATCATCCGAGCCTCCGCTCTCGTTGTCGCTATCGCCAGACTTGATGGAAGAGGCCGCGGCGAAGCGGACCTTCTTCTCACCTGAAGACTTGTCGGAGACGTAAGTCTTCAGTGCGCTGAGTAGAGGAGTAGCAGGAGGGGACACTGTAGCAGGATTGGAAGCCATAGCTTCGAGCTTTCTAGCAATCTCCTCGTCGGTGTCGGTAGTTTTGATCGCAGGACCGGGCTCTGTGGAAGAAGAGAGAGCGCAGTCATTCTTGACAGGAGAGTTGCCCTTGAGCTTGTTCTGACGTCCACTGTTTTGGATGGTAGAGCCAGTGTATGTAGACGATGGCAGCAAAGGAGCCTCCTGGTCATGGCGCTGGTTGTGCTGGGGAAGCTGAGTAGAAGAAGGCGCCTGAGCGCCGGGCTTCGCAACAGCACTGTTCTTCTTCTCCGTGGATGAATTGTAAGAAGACGCAGAGAGGAGCACAGCGTCAGCAGAGTCCCTGTCGACAATCTTGAAAGAGCTGGAAGCTCTCTTGTGGCGATGGATAGGCAACTTAGTCATGCGACTCGGAGACGGGTTCGAAATTGCTTCACCGATGGTCAGTGTAGTACAAGGCTTCACTTCGAGGGTCTTACCTTGGATCTGAGTCTTATTGGCGAAATCGATGGTGTCAATCTTGTCCGCCGAAGCCTCGGCGCCAGACTCATGCGCATCCTTGTCTTCGGTGGTCACAGAACGAGTCGTAACGATGGTGACGACAGAGTTGCGAGTACCATTCTCCTTGCGACTATTCTCGAGGGTAGCGGCAGAGTTCTGAAGATGATTGCCATTCTCATGTCGGTTGCTTGCGGTGGCCTTGGTAGGCGTAGCTTCCTCCTGAGGGGCGGTCTTGTCGTCAGCAGCATCGCCGACCTGCTCCGGGCTGTGGCCGAAAAGCGCAGAGAGGCGGCCTCTACGGCTTTTCTTGCGACCGGAAGAATCAGAGGAGGCAGTTTGCTTGCCAGGCAATTTTTTCTTCGACATCGTGGTTGCGAACGCGGGCTTGGGAGCTAGGTGAGGATTTCCGACCTTGACTGGGATGGAGCAAGTCTGCGAGGAGTCAAAATAGTGTACAAAAGAGGAAGAAGAAAAACAATAGGAAGGAAGGAAAGGTAATTTTGTTTCCACTGACCTCGAAAATCTCCCTCGAGTAACGCGGGTCCGACATTTGCTGCTGCTGGAACGCTGGAGCGGCAGAGTGAGGATGAACATCATCTGTCGGCGATGCGTCGCATCGCCAAGGCGACACACTGGTGCTTACATTCACCACCATCGCTGCTGGATTGGGCGGTGTCCGTAAGGTGAGTGTGAGAGAAAGCTTGTACAAGTATTCAATCCCAAATAAAGGAAGTAGTAATGCGGAATCGAGTGGTGGTGTCTGTGATGTCTGTGATGACCACGACAATCGCGAAATAGCCTCGAATCTAAACAATAGTCAATGAAACCCTTTGATGATGGGCTGGATAAACGATGAGTCTCTGGTGAGTCTCATCTCTTACCTCGAAGAGGAAGATATGATTCATTTGTGTTAGGGACACAAATCTCAACGATAACGATGAGAAAACTACACCTGCGGATGAGAAGCTTGAGGCCGGCTTCGTATTTTCGGGAGGAAGAATGATAAGGCAACGAAATTGAACTGAGGTGCGATGAGGAGTGAGAAGTGAAGCAGGAAAATAGAAGGGCAGCAAGCTTTGCAGTAAAGATGTCTGCGGAAGGAGGGATGTTGTTGACGGGAGGAAGGTGCGGCAAGTCTAGGTCGCTCTTGCCTCCGAAACTTTACTTCCCTCAGCACCTGCCTTACCTTTGCTACACTTGCTCCTTCCCACCAGGCATTTCTCTGCTAGATAGGTATTTGACTAATAAGACGGAATAAAAGAGAAGACTCATTGTCCTCCTCCGGTGTGCTCTCCTAGCAGCCACCCACCCTAAGGTACCCAAGGCCAGATGCAGATGGTATGGTACCTACCTTATGTCGGTATTGCTTCTCAGTGTCGATATATCATCGGAGTACCGTCATCGTATTTATAGACTCACATGAACTCAAAACATGGTCCCAAAACCAACTTAAGAGGTGCTCGCCACACCATATAGCCAAGATTGGCCATGACAGTCGAGGAAGCATATGCATTCAAGTTACCTTACTCCGTAGACACCATCAAAGTCACCTTCATTACTTAAGGTACCAACTCTGGCATTAGTCAAACGTCTAAGAAGAAGTTATGGTTCGTTCGGCACGCGTCTGCAGTTATTATTGTAAGTCTTCAGTGAATGCTTTCTTCGTTCGCGGTAGCCTCATGGCCTGCTCCTTGTGGATAACGACTAGCATGTTTACGCCTGGTGTTGGGGGAATTCTCAAGGAAAGAATCTAGCGACACCTGGATGTCGCTGACAAGAATAGAACATCGGGAAGATCTAAAACAATTACACGCAGAAAGTATCTCGACAGACACTCGAGCCGATAGATCAAGCATTGTGGTCTCTCGTGATCATGAACGACAGACTGGCCCGAGGAATTGAGTGAAGGTCTCACGAGTGCCAGATAGGTACTTCGTGCTGTCCGTTGTGACGTTCAGTGCCCCACATAGCTTCTCCAGATTTTTTTCTTCCAGAATGCATTCGGAGTAGGGGGGTTGGCATTAACAATCCAGGGGGCGTGTACGTAAGCCGCGTAGTCTCGGTGTAGATAGAGGGGTCCTCCAAAAAATTATTTTGCCTTTCCATCGATCGCAACTTTTCGCAGTCGCAGTCCAGCCATACCACACACAACCATGGCGCCCTCCTCAACACCCAGTCAAGCCGAGCTGGACCGGCGGAGGGTAAGTCAATTCGAATCAATTCGTCCTCGAGGCGCTGTTTTCCCATACTGACGGCTTCTCACAGATAGTCGGTATCAACAAGGAAACTGTCACCGATGTGACTTCGACCGACTACCCGGGCACCTACGCCGGCGAGGACCACGCCTGGGACCTCGACCGTTTCGCCTCCAACTTCCGCGTCCAATTCCACCACAATGCCCAGCACGAAGCCTCCTTCTCCCTCATCGGCGTCGACGCCTCCATTGCAAACGCCTTCCGCCGTACCCTCATCGCCGAGATCCCCACCATCGCCATCGAGAACGTCTACATTGAGAACAATACCTCGGTGATCCAGGACGAGGTCCTCGCCCACCGCCTCGGCCTCATTCCCTTCACCGGAAACCCCGAGGGCCTGCACAAGTTCCTGAAGTGGTATCGCAAGCCCGAGCAGGGCGGCAAGGGCTCCTTCGACTACAACACCGTCCAGCTGCGCCTGCGCATCGAGTGCACCCGCAACCCGGACGCCGCCCCCGGCGAGACGGACCCGGCAAAGGCCTTCCACCACGCGAGCGTCTACGCAAAGGACATTGAGTTCGTTCCTACCGGCCGCCAGGTCGAGTTCTTCTCCGGCGAGGACGCCATCCGCCCCGTCAACCCCGACATCCTCATCGCCAAGCTGCGGCCCGGCCAGTGCATCGAGCTCGACATGCACATGCACAAGGGCATCGGCTCCGATCACGCCAAATTCTCCCCCGTCGCCACCGCCTCCTACCGCCTCATGCCTACCATCACCATCACGCGGCCAATCCTTGGCCAGGACGCGGACAAGTTTGCTAAGTGCTTCCCCCAAGGCGTCATTGGCTTCGAAAAGGTCACAAAGAAGGAGGCCGCCGTTGCCGGCAGCGGATACGAGGGTCACGAGGGCGAGAAGAAGGCCGTAGTCAAGGACGCCATGAGGGATACAGTCAGTCGTGAGTGCTTGCGCCACCCCGAATTCGAGGGCAAGGTCAAGTTGGGCCGGGTGCGTGATCACTTCATCTTCTCTATTGAGAGCACAGGACAGTGGGACAGCGACGAATTGTTTTTGGAGTCGGTTAAGCAGTTCAAGACGAGGTGTATCCGTCTTGAGCAGCAGGTCATCAACATGGTTAGATGAAGCATCACTGCACATGTACCATACTTATAGATATCCCGTGTTTCTGGTTTTGCAAGGGCTGGCTGGCAATGGAAAGAAAGAAAAAAGTTCATAATGACACTTGGTTTTATTTTCTAGATTCGTCTAGTTGCTTCTTTTGGTGCGAGTACACCTGATATGCCATGCCTTTTGACATTCCCAAAGACACCGTCCATGCTATTATCATCATCATCCCACGTAAATGCTGAGTGTCTACCTATGCGGCCTTCTTGAACCGCAGGTAGAAGTTGAATTCCAGAGGAAAAGCAGGGTCCGTGACAATAACATTTTGTCCATCTTCTAGCTCGAGCTCCTTGATGGTCTTTTCGAGGTTGGCCCGTGTTTTCTCCTCCAGGCTGGGCGGAAACTGCATGTACAGGGTCTTGTTGGCGGCTCTGAATGAAGGCTTCTTCAATTGTGCCTCGGGACGGATGGCAAATGAGTCCACCAGGTTTTGGAGTGTGCTGTCGGGGTCGACCTCGAGCGGCCGTGATTCTTGTCCACAGACGGGGCAGTCGTCTTTCTTCTCGTGCTTGAAGGTGTAAGTGTAGATGCTGTCATTTCCAGAATACATCATGTAGTTTTCCTCCATTCCAAGCGTTGGCGCGGCCGAGCTGGCGAGCTTGAAGGCTTCATTGCAGCATGCTGCCGCAATGATGGCGTTCGTGGATGCGATGGCGGGAATGATGTTCTTGATAACTCCCTGGGTCAGGGCGTACGTGACGCCTGTAATATTAAACTCTTGGGCACGTGTAAGTGCCTTTTGGTACAGCCAAGACACATGAGTAGTGTCGTCCTTGTCCAGTTTTGGAAATGGCTTCTCCTGGTCCCAAGCAATGACGTGTGCCCACTCAATGCAGTGCTCTGGTTGCCGGGGGATTGAAGCGATTGTACAGAGAGGAACAGCGGCTCTGGGTGCGTGCATGTCCAGTTGGCATTCGATACAAGATGTGATCGAAGGTACGATGACTCGAGCCTGGCCCTTGAATCCTTCTGTACCTCCATCTATCATGGGAATCAATGAATCCGGATCCTCGCCTTCTTCGGCAATCTGTACGAGGGTTGCGTTGATCCACCTGCGGGCCTCAATGCTGTCCAATCCACATATGACGAACTGGAATTGTTTGTAGAAGTCTTGACCAAAATCTTGAATGGCGCAGTTATGGGCTGTAATGTTGACACCCTTGACACGACGCATGACGAACTGAGCCGCGACTTCAGCCTTGTATTTGCCGACGTCGGACTTTCTGAAGAGGAATTGCCGGTTTAGGTTCGAGATGTCGATAGTATCTAGCCAAGCAAATGTCAGATCTTGAGTAGAGCGGCGGGAGAGTACGGCTTACCCATGTCAATGACATGAATATCCTTGAACTTTGACATGGCTAAGTTCTTTAATATCTCACATCCAAGACCTCCGGCGCCACTTGTATAATGTCAGTCGCAAGATATCGTGTTCGAAGAGGGGATCACCAACATTACCCTACATAATGTGTCAGTAGGCAGCATCGACTTATTGGATCATGCAATATCATACAAGACCTTGATCTTGTCAAACTGTTCAAAAGCCTCCTCTGTTCCGGCCACATCAGGGTCGCTGAAGGGTCCTGGGGTCTTGCGAATATTGTCGAGGTAGGTCCTGTACCATGCTGTAGTCAGCGATTGAATGCGACAACTGACGGGTTGTAGTATGAGAGGCGAACCATCTCTTTGCCTCATCGACCTGATGTGTCGCTACCGGCAAAGGTGCTTCGGTAGCCATTGTGAGGAGCGTTCAACTTGGAATGATTTGTAGGTGATGTTCGTGGCGATCACTTTGTTGCTTGTCCCTTAGGTTCTCAATCCTGGTGAGCTTCGGGAGGTGGAGGGGCCGACGTGACGATATATAGGGCCAAGTGGGCCTATGTCCGTGCCTGATAAGGCTTATCGACAGGCTTATTATCGATAAGGTAACATACCTTAATGGAAATCATACCCATCCACGCCATCTTACCTAAGGTAGGCCTTGGTGCCTTCTACGGGGGTGTCTACAGCACAGTGGGGTGTGGGAAGACGACCCCAACGGTCCTTCACTCTTTGGGCTTGGGTTTCTGTCCATTCATGGAGGCAGTTGCGGACATATTATTCCTAACGAACAGAACTCGCATCTGATATTGCAATCACAACTCAGAGCAATCAGCGAAAGTTAGTTCGACACTAGTCTGGATTCTCGACCTTTGAGGTGACAGCTTGAGAAAGCCCTTTCCGTTTTCTCACTGCACCATGCAAGGACCATAGTGCACCACCAGAAAAGGGATTATCAAGCATGGACGGCTTCTTTACCCCGGTCAGCACTACCTACCTCAAGGCAAGGCCAGACGAACCCTTTTTGGAAGAATCAGCCACAAGCAACAAGCCTCAATCGTCGAAACCCGCTGCTATCGAAACTCTCTCTGTAGAGAATGCTCTAGAGACTCTAAAGAATCAGCCAGATTATGACAATCTGATTGGGGTCCTCAAGTCCCTCACTGATGGCAGTGTTGCTGCAACAGGATTCAGGCTTGCCACGCCTAGTCCCGAGGCTGCGCAAATTATTCAGTGTCTCGTCTCGGAGATTGTTTCCAACTACTGGCCTTTGCTCAAAGAAGATGCTTCCGGAGGATCTGGTATACACGATGTCGATAGCCCAAAAGACGTCGAGTTGCTGCTCAGGTGCTTGAGAAGTGTTACGGGTCTCAATGCCATCATCACCCGTATGAAGGCCTTGATCCAAGAGTCCAAGTCGAGCGCCAAGGATGTGAAACGTCCAGATCTAAGCCTAAACCTGAACGTGCTACTCGAGGTCAGCTCAGCAGTATTGGGTGGGGACGACTATCTTGCTGCACTATGGGCGTCGAGCAGCGCTGGGCTGGAGTCTGCGGCGAGAAGACGACCGATGGCGAATGAGTTCATGGCACTGGTAGCCGGTGGACGACTCATTTCAGTTGCAGCCGAGGCAGATGCCATTGCCAACCCGGACAAAATCAACAAGAATCAACTTTGGATCGCAGACGGTCAACAATACAGCAGGTGGCTGGGACGAAGTGTCGGGGCGTGGGCGAAGGGTGATAACTCGTCTGACGATGTGAAGCTATGTTCAGAGGTTTTTATACGATCACTTCGCCTGGGTTATTCTGGCAAGTCCACCATCCTCTGCGCCACGCCTTCGGTAGCTCGAGTAATGACACTAACAATTTTGTAGATGCCCTGATGAAGCAGTTCATCAACGAACTTCTGTTAGGCCCCGAGGAAAGCCGAAACGCCTTCTTCAAGCTCTTTGGTCAATTCTCTCAACTCGAGCAGAAGCGGGTAATCTTTGCTGTTCTCAAGCACTTGTCGGAGACGTTTCTCAATAAGCTGGGCGATGTCGAACCTATGAAGTCGAACTCGGCTGTATCCGCTGCGACTGGCATCATCGAGATGATACTCTCCAACGAAGAAAGCCGAAAGGCACATTTGATCTCTTGGTTGACCAGCTCAACTGGTGCCGGCCTGGGAGATGGCATAGGTATCAGGCGCGCAGCCATAGCGGCGCTTGCACAAGACAGAGAATGCGTCACTCAGGTATTTGAGAAGAGCCTTCACCAGTTCGGCGATCAGCTATATATTAAGCACTCTCCCATCATGCAGCAGCAAGGTTCGACTTTCTCACCTCTGTCACTCTCTAACACTCACTGACTATGACGAAGCTCATGCACAAGTTCTTCTACTAAGCGCTAGTTATGTCAACAAGCTCTCACCCCTCAAGCTTAAGATGCTCATGCGATCTCCAAGCTACCTCAACACCGTGTCCAACCGGATCGGCGCCTCGCAAGAGAGGGCTAGGTTCTTGGGTATGGCAGTGGGCGAGGCCCTCTCAAGTCTCATCGACGGTGGTGACAAGAAACTGGACTTCAAAATGGAGGAAATGGCAACAGACGAGGCCCAATTCTACAAAGATCTCGTCAAAACGCTGGATAGTGCAGGACCTATCGATCCATTGATAATCACCCCCGAGGTGGAGCAGAAGAGACAGACGCAATCACCAGTACCCTCCCGCCGAAAGCCAGCACCAAAACCCAAGCAAACACCCGCGCCCTCAAAGTTCATCATACAAGAAGTCTCAGACTCCGAAAGCGAGGACAAGGATCTCATACCCTACGCTAAGCCCACCGACGATGCAGAAGACTCAGACGAAGATGCCACGCTCGTCCGCCGCGACAAGCCAAAAGCCCCAGTCTACGTCCGCGATCTCATAACCTACCTCCGCGACACTGACAACTACGACAAGCAGAAACTGGCCCTTACCACGGCCCCATCCCTGATCCGCCGCAAAGCGAACTTTGGCACAGAGGTCTCCTCCCACGCAGATGAGCTCGCCACGCTTCTCGTCGGCCTCCAAGACAAGTTCGAGATTGAGAACTTCAATGACCTGCGTCTTCAGGGCATGATAGCCATCGTCGCAGCACAGCCGCAGAAAATGGGCCAGTGGTTCGCAAAGACCTTCTTCGACGGTGACTACTCCATCTCCCAGCGCGCCGCGGTCCTCATCGTCCTCGGCCTCAGCGCCCGCGAGCTCGCCGGCTTTGACACCTCGGAATACGCCGCCGCCGCCTCGTTCCCCTCCAAACGCCTCCCGGAGAAGATGGAAGCGCTCTACCTCGACCCGTCCACCGCCCAAGCCCGGCTCGCCTCCTCATCGAACCTCAAGGCCATCCCCGCCAACGCACTCGACACCATCGCCGACTCTTTGACATCCTCCTTCCTCGCCCCCATAGCTGCTAACGCAGCAGACGCAACAACAGGACCAGACATCCTCAAGCTTTCGACCTTCACGTCCCGCCTGCCCTCAAAGTCCACCAAGAAACCCGGCATCCGCTCCATCCCCAACACGACGGCCTCCCTGCTCGCCACCTCCTTCTTCTTCCCTTTGACGGCCCGCTTCCAACACGCCCTGCGCTCTCACTCGGCCCGCTCCGGCATCTTCATCCAGCCGTACCTCCTCTCCCTCTACCTAAAGACCCTGGCAGTCCTCGTCCACGCCGCGGGACCCGCGACGCTGGCCCTCCCGCAGATGACGGCCGAGCTCTGGGATCTTCTGTTAGGTATCCGCGCCCACGTCAACGGCGATGTGCCCGCAACCCACGCGCTACTGGTGGCGCTGGCGGCTATGCTCGAAGTCAATGAGGCGTCTGATATGCGGCGCTTGTGCGAGGCGCATCCACGCGAGGTTAACGAGACGCAGGAGTGGGTCAGCGGTATCTTCAACGGCACGCGCGGCGAAGATGGCGGGGAGGAGAATAACGTGAAGATGCTCTCTGCCGCGGTGCTGATCAAACTGCAGGAGGCGACGGAGAAGTATCGGGCCCTGCTGCTGGGCGATATGATAGGTTTCTCATAGGGTCGGTACGATGGAGCAGGGAGGATAACTCTCAAAAGGAGTGGATGTCATTGTAAATAACGATATCTGGCAGGGGCCTTTTTGCTCGAAACAAACATTGCCCATGCCAACCTAGCATCCAACTTAGAGTAGTCATACATGTCCCTCGTCAACAATCCATACCCCTCCAACGCCGATGCTCCGTGAATACATAAGCAGGTCCTTTCCGTATTTTCATACTGCTTTCATGTGTACAAGACAAAGCCAAAAGGTGTCAAACCCATTACGTTGATTCACCCATCAGGTCCTGTCTTCCACCCTTACGCACAGGGAGCGTTGACAGGTACTGGTTCGCGTGGCTTAAATGCTCACCCAGGCTCATTGCCATTCTCCTCAACTCTTCCTTCACAGCGTCTGCACTCGCTGAGCCTTGCATGACCTCCACAGACGGTGGCGCTGGTGGAGGAGGCAGCGGGATAGTGCCACTGTCCCGGTTCCCTACTGAGCGCGGGATACCTGGCGGTAGGGCCGGCTGGGCGGCCTGCTGCGGAGTCAGATACTCGGGATCAGAGTAGTCGGCACTGTTGACGCTGTTGAACGAGCGGTGGGTGTTGAGTCGCAATCCGCCCTGACCATTGGGCCGAACGGTAGCACCGGGCTCGGCTAGCGAGAGGTCGACGAGGCTTAGTTGATCATCATCCTTGGGAGCGCGTGAAGCGAAGTCCGAGTCATCCGAAACGTAGATTGAAGGTTCTCGGTTCGATGATGGTACATATAGAGATGGTTCCCTGTTCGATACCGGGACATAAATGGAAGGCTCCCGGTTTGATGTGGGCACGTAAAGGGAGGCATGGCGCTCCAGGTCAAAGGGGTTCGCCATTCCCATCTCCGAGCCGCTGACAGATGCGACGTCCGAGTTTGCTGTTGAAGGGCGAGTGAGCTCCGGCATGGGATCGGCCAAGCCCATGTCGAGGTCGATCAAGCTGCCGGTAGATACACGGTTATTCTGGTTACTGGGAGGCGGAACCATAAGTTCATCCAGATCTATCAAGCTTCCCGTTGACTCTCTGTTGTTCATCTGTGAGCCAGGCCGGGGAACCATTAAGTCGCCGCCATAGTTAGGAGCTGGGACAGGATCAGTCTGGTGATGGAACATTTGCGGGCGAGACGCAGAACTGGGTCCCGAATGGTCATCCCAAGAGGGCCTGTCTTCGTGGAACGGGCGGTCTTCGTTGAAGGGAAACCTCGACATCTCCGGGTTGGCGGAAGCCGGAGGTGCCATGGAAGGGAACTTCCAGTCCTGCGTCCTTCTGTTTGGATTCAGATCCGCCGGGTCGCTCGAAGGTGCTTTGCTGAAGTCTGGCTCGTCGCCCATATGATAATCGACAGATACCCGCGGTGCGCCGGCTCTGATGGTGTTCATATCCACAAAGTTAGATAGATCACCGCCGTGCAGTGAAGCGTCGAGGTCGATGAGGGATTCTCTCACTGCTGTTGACTGGAGCGAGTCGTCTCGCAACGGAAGATCCGAAGTTGGTGGAGGGATCGGCCTGCCATAGTAGGCTCGAGAGTTGTCTTCATAATTGGAAATAGTGTTTGGGTCAAACACCTTTTCCAAGGGAGCCTTCATGGCAGCAAGTTGCTGTGGTGGCGGTCTCCGCCGCGACTTCGGCTTGGAGCGAGACATGTCGTCCAGAAGCATAGGGTCGAATTCCACGTTTGAGCCATACACATCGTAGACTGCCTGAGCATCCGTATTTTGGAAGACTTGTTGGTCGAATGCCATCGTTGTGCTGAAGTTCCATTCGTCGTTGGCCATCGCAGTGGATGAGAAATCGGACTCATCCATGCCGGACATGCCCTGGGCTCCGCCAGGAGCAAATAGTGATTTACGGCTGCCACCTTGTGACTCCCAAAGCTTGAATCCTCTCACTAGTAATGCCAGTGATGCTGCTGGGTACTCTTGGGCCGAGTTGGCGATGTAAGGGTGGTTTTGTACCTCTTCGATTGTTGGTCGCTTTGTCGGATCTTCCTCTAAGCAATAGGCAACCAGATGCTTCAGTCGGTCAGAGTACTGGTCGCCCTCCAATCGAGGCGTGTGTGCCTTGATGTAGTTTCCAAGCTGATAAACGTCGACGCCGGCCATAACGTTTGGCGGTAGACCGGAGGCAATCTCAAATACCATAGAGCCAAAAGCCCAAATATCCACCTCTGTTCCATACGACGTTGACTGATCGAAAAGTTCCGGGGCCATCCAGTGAGGGGTCCCGATGAAGGTTGATCGCTTGTCGAATTTGGTCTCAATGACACCGGCCACTCCGAAATCGCAAAGTTGCACTCCACCGGCCTCGGTGACCAGAACATTGGCGCACTTGATGTCGCGGTGAATGATGCCTTGTCGATGAACCCAGAAGACAGCTTCAGAGACCTCTCTGAGAATTGGGATAATCCACTTTTCTTGCAGACCACCGGGAGCGGTCGGCTTCATGAGTGTCGCCACACTTCCTCCGGCGCAATACTCCGTGATCATCCACATGGATTGGCCGACAGGCAATGCATCGATGACATGATTGATGTTCCTTGCGCCACTGTCGCTCAGAAGCTTCAGCGCATTAACTTCGGCCAGAAATTCCTTGAAGGTGTCGGCAAGCTTGGGGTTGACGGTGTCGCTCTCTTCAATGTCGATGATTTTGACCGCCACGAGCATGCTAGTGTTGATGTCGGTCGCTTTGTAGACGCGACCAAAACTTCCCTTGCCAATCAGTTCATTGAGAAGATATGGCGGTTTGTCCTGTCCCGCTTTAGCCACCTCATCGTCCACCGCAGCTTGCATCTTTTTCGCATCTTCGAGGGCCTTCTGCTTCGTCACCGAGAAGTCAGGGCCTCTAACTTGGAGTGACATCTTGGATGAGTTGTGACCGTTAAGGACGGCCGAAAAAGCTGCGTGTCTCTCCCTCAGGTCGATAAAAACAAAACAAAAAATCCGATTAAGCAGAGGTCGAAGAAAAATAGCCCAGTCCCCTATGCATTCAATGCTGAGGTTGCCGATTAGGGCCAGATGTTATGAGAAGTTGCAGTATTCATCGAGGTTGGGTTGTACGCATATTGCAATCTGATACGTCCAAGTTCGGGTCAAACACAGGGGGTGAGGTTGCAAGCACGGTGGAAGTGGCAGGTACTGGAGTCGTTTCCAGCCAATCACTGTTGGTATCCTGTGATCCATCATATGCAATTAAGCCACTACTCAACAAAGCGGTGTATCGATGTAACCATCTTACCCACGGCTAGAGGATTCATCGCATTGTTCTCTCGCTTATGATCAAGTCGGTGTCGTAGGTTCAAGGAGAACTCGCTTTCATAAGAGAGTGCTAATTTGGTATCTTCGTGTAAGGTTGTGGCTTAGGTTTGCCCGCAGCTGGCCTCAAAGTGGTAGAACATCTTTCTCAACTTACAACCTCACAACCAGCCCGACAACCAGCCAGTCTTCTTCCCCTCCGTCTTGCCCTCAGATTTCCCCTCGGGCTTCACCTCCGCCTCATTTGTTCTCGTCTTGTACGCCCTGGGACTCTCAAATTCACTTGCCTTTCCGTTCCAAATTCCAAGCTTCTTCGACTTAGCCCTGGCCTCGGCAGCTTTGTATGCCTCTTCAGCCCCTCCCCACTCGACCCCTGTTTTCGCTTCGTATGTCGTTGCCAACCCAAGCTTCAGCATCTCTAGCCCGACGTCCTTCTTGAACAGAAAGGGTCTGACGTATACTGTCGCAACAACGCGTTCGTATTGATCGCGCCTGTGAATCCGAGCCCAGACACGTTTGTTCTGTATGTAGCCTCTCAACCATTGCAGCGCTTCTGCAGCACCTGGCTGCCCCGGTCGGCCAAAGTGTGCGCCCTCGGGAGCATCGATTCCAGCCATCCGTACCGGTATCTGTGCTGAGTCTCAGTACTGGTTTCTGCATATATTCAGAGATGGACTTACTGTCTTCCCCTTGAGTGCAGCTCTGGTATTGGGGACCTTTCTCAGCCAATCCCAGCCTGCCAGTCTGCCACCTGGTGTATGGAACAGGTGAAAGTTATCGCCATCGCCCACACTGGTCACTCGGCCCAGAAGAGTTCGCTTCCTGAAAAGCTCTGGCTGGATGTGGTTTGTTGTGGGAAACCTCCGCAGCCGGGTTTGATAGAACATGAAAGCTGCCAGCGATGCGACGGATGTCAGGAAAACGGGAGCCCACTCTCTAGCAGCCTGCAGTGGCGGCGCAGGTTGTGGCAGCAGGTCGTTCCATGATGTTGGTAAGACGCGCCCATCATCTTCTGACTTGCTCGGGGCGGGCGCTTTTCCTGAGCTGGAAGAGCTGAACGGCCATGGCATTTTCGAGGACTCCTGGTGGAGTTCTGAACCTACACACGTTCACCGGCGGTGAGATATAGACCAAGCGCGTTTCTAGAGCTTCTCATCAGCTTATTAAGTTTGCACAACCCGTGAAAGAGAGGCCGAAAACCGGGAGGGTCTTGATCGCGACATCGTTGACTCCGATAATGCTAGGCATTGATGTTCTGTGCATACGCAATGCAAGTTGATATGAGAAAACAATTGCTTACCTCGTTTGATACTGGCTGCAGCTTGAGACTAATTTGTGAGAGAGCTGCAGCTCAATTGAATCCACATCCATGTAGCGTTAGCCGTGTGCGATACAGTACGTACTGTCCTGTTGCGCACCTCCAAGGGCTGCGGCAAAACCGTGCTCCGCTGAGCCAATCAGCGAAGGCCCATTTTGAATCGATGCGTTCGAGCTTTCGGGACATGACGGCCACACTACACACTTTCGAAGGCGAATCCCCTCTATTCAACCTAGCCGGCCCTTAGCCATTGGCATAATAAAGGAGGCTCAATTGGAGGCAGCATATCTCCTTGACCTCTTTTGCAGCCGTCTCTCCACTCTACAATCGCCATGTCAGGCCTCTACCGACTTGCTGGCCACAGCGCCAAGAGGTTATGTCTGCGCCCGGCAGCAGTCACCTCCTTCG